GGGAAGGCGGGGGGGGGGGGGGGGGGGGGCGGGGGGGGGGTAAGAGATCAACCAAAGGACTTGTATGCATGCATATGAGCATAACCAATGGACACAGACGGGGGGGAGGGGGGCGAGGGGGACAGGAGCAGCCAGGGAGAGGTCAGTGGGGGGAAAAGGAGACATGTAATACTTTCAACAATAAAGAATTACTAGTAAAAATAAAAGATTCTGTGGAAAGTCCTTTGGAATTCATACAAGGCTACAACAAATGTTGTCTATGCTCCTTTGTTTGAAAGCTTTTAATCAACTGTTTATATAAATATAGGCTTTTGATCCAAAAGTTTTAAATTTCAGGGCCTGCGTAAAATAATTCAAAAAATTTCAAAAGAGAGAGAGAAGGGAAATGCTGTGCTAGCACATGGGACAGTAATGGTGAAAAAAAATCAGACATTGCCCATGTCATAGTAGGGCTTACAGTCTGGGACACCAACTTGTTTAGCACATAGTTAATTAATTGCAACTGTGATAAGTACTTAAATTTCTGCAGGGCCAAATAAATCTCACTGATGCTATCACCTGAAAGCTGACATTAATGAGGGGGGAGCTAGGAAAAGAGCATCCTAGTCCAAGGGACCAGCATGTGCAAAGGCCCTGGGGTAGGAAAGAGCTTAGTGTGTGTGAAGACCTGGAAGGCCAGCTGGTTGGAGCTCTTGAGCAAAGGGATGAGGCCAGAAGGAGTTGCAGAATGGATGGTGGCCTGCCATCCTCTGTCAGCCTACAATGAGCCCATCTGATAGGCTCACCAAGTGTGGGCTGCTCTGATACTGACGTGAATGGCCCGGCTTCTGTACTCTGGAGTACTCGGCTGCAAAAAGGCCTAAGTGATCTGCTTCTATCTCTGAATGGTCTGGGCAGGAATCTCCTCTTCTAAAGAACTGGAGAGGAGATGGGAGTTTTCCCCACATCTATAAAGTTCCCCTACATAGGAGGACTCGTGGGACAGAATGGCTGGCCCCCGAGGGACTGCAGTCTCAGATTCCTCCTTGCATTGTTTACTCTCCCCACGGTTGCTTGGTGTTGTTGGATTAAATCTACAGATGTAACTCCTCCTCCTCCAGCTCCCGGTCCTCGCCCTCCTCCTGGTTTTCCTTCTCTTCTCCCTCCTCCTTTTCCTGCTTTTAACAATCTGTGCCAACTTCTAATGGACTGTGGGTGGCATGGGGAATGCTTCACACTTCATTTGGTCCTGCTCCCCATTTTAGGAGCTCCACGGTTTACATCTCACATCCCCTCCCTCCCCTGACTCTGCCCTCGCCTCTGCCTGGTGACCTGTGAGCCGTTCTTTTCATTAAAACTGCCCTGTGGCTGCGGAGAACCCTTCCTCTTTGGTTTGGGTGCCCCTCCATACCCATGTAGAGTGTTCCTTTCTGGATATTGATTATTCCCCTCCCCAAGACTCCTAAATCTTCACTTCCCCCTAAACTCGGACAAGCAGTGTGGTGTGGAAGGCAGCATTGGTCGCTGAAGGGAAGGGAAACTGGGGCCCGCACAGCAGTGCGGGGCAGTGGGGAGATTCTGGCCTTCCCTGGTGACTTAGCGGCTGTGGGTCCTTCCGGGGCTGTGTCCTCGCTGGTCCTGTGGGAAAGAGATAAGTAAGATGTTTGTCCTGTCAGCCTTCTAGGCTGGCTGGTGCAGCCCACCACTTGGGTTTGTGGCCTTGGGTAAGGCAGCGGCCTCAGTTTCCCCACCTGAGGATCGCCTTACCTCTGTGCAGTCAGGTCTGAGAACTGCTCTGCTGGCCCATGGGCACAGTGGTGAGAAAAAGCAGACATTGCCTCGTCCGGGTGGCTCAGTGGGTTAGAGTGTCTCCTATACACCAAAAGGGTTCCAGGTTTGATTCCTGGTCAGGGCACATACCTAGGTTTTGGGTTCGATCCCCAGTCAGGGCGTGTACGGAAAGCGATTGGTCAGTGTTTCTCTCATCAATGTTTCTTTCTCTCTCTCTCTCTCCAATAAAAATATAGCCCTGGGTGGTATTTTTTTTTTTAATCAGACATTGCTGATGCCCTAGCAGGGCTTGTAATTGTCTATGAAGTCATACACGCCTGGCCTGTATGTGTTACTATAGCAGTAGCCTTTTTTTTAGGGCATATCACTATTGTAGTTCGAGTCCTCTTTAATCTGTAAATGTTAGTTTCCCCCACTAGACTATAAGCTCCATGAAGGCAGTGGCCGCATTGGTCTTGACTGTTGTATGCCCAGCGCCTTGTACTTGCCTGGTACGTACTAGCTTCTCAGTCAACATGGCATGGACGAGTGGTTGGTTGGATAGGTGGATTGAGCTAGTTACCTTCCAATCCTTTTCCTTAACTCCAGCCCACAGACTCTTCTTAGCAGGGGTGGGGGGCCGTAATGACCTGTTTCTATGTCTCTTTGGGGCATCTTGAGACCCCTAAGGTCTAGCGCAGCACCTGACATACAGCAGATGGCCAATACAAGGTGACGAAGCTTAAGGCTTGCCCTTGAGACTAGTTCCAAGGACAGGAGCTGCTGTGGGGGACCTTGGAGAGCTACTTTCCCAGGCTGTGAGTAGGGACAGCACAGTTATTCATGGACGCGCAGGGAACCGCCTTCCTGCTTCCCACCATGCCGTGGTCTGCTATGCAGGTTGCCAGTTACTATGTTGACTTATTTGTACACAAATAGTTATTTCCATAACCTTCTCTTGGCCAACATTCAGAGATAATCATATACAATCTTTGTAACATCACAGACATGGCTTCAAAAGCATTCTGTCGCTGTAGGAATGCTTATGATGTGCTTATCGCCCGAATTTCATGAGCAACAAACTCCCAAATTGCAGATGATTTAGCATTTGAAGCCGGGAGTGAGAGTGTGTGTGTGTGTTTGCATTTTTTTAAAAAAGGACTTTGAAAAGAATTTTTCTTCGGTAGAGTTATTTCCTTATAAAGTTTAAAATAAGAACGACTTAAAAGCTGAGAGCTTAGAGGAGTACTTTCTCTTAAACATTCAAATGGGTGAAAATGACTTGTAATCACTTCCTTAAGTATTAAGGCAACAGGCACTCACAGGCTTTGTTTGGAACTGGCTGTCACAGACAAAGGATTTCTCAAGTTAAAAAAAAATATATGTATTTTTATAGCATTAAATAGGAGGCACGAACACCAGCAGCTGCCCTGACATTTTGGAAATGATCTGCTTTCAGGCCGGGCTTGTCCTAGAGGGTTGCAAGTCCCGGATGGAGCAGGACAGGGCTGCAGGCACCGCTGTGACCAGGGTCCGTGGGCTTCCTGCTCGTGTTCCCTGGGCCCACTGCCTCTGTCCATCACCCCAAGCGCACACTCTCCCAAAGTCCCTGCCGTGGCTCTTCTTCCTGGAGAGACTCGCCGAACTCTCTGAAGGCTAGTCCACAGGGCGAGTTTGACATCTTTCTTTCCAGCCACCCTCTGTGAACCAAGATCAGCCAGACAGCTCAGGAGAAGCTGCACTCTATAAACTCATATTCTAGTGATGCTACGCAGCTGTGGTTCGTGGGATGGCGCTGGCCCGCAAACGTCACTGGTCCAAAATAAAGTACAGATACTGGGCGTAAGCACTTCGAAACTTCCGTACTGATACGACAGAGTCATTCATTGAATCGAACAATTAAAAAGTAGGCTTGTACTTTGAATATTTTTCATTTTGTTTATCGCGTGGTTCATTTTCATTATCCTATGTAATAAAAGGCTAATATGCAAATTGTCCCCTCGATATCAGGAGTTGGACTGGGAGTTCGACCAGGGGGCAGGGCCAGCCAGCCAACCTTCGGCGGCCTCTCCCCACCGGCTGGCCCCACCCCGGATTGTTCCCCCTCCCCCCAATGGGGGGCAGGGCCCGCAAGACCTCATCCATGCACAAATTTGTGCACCAGGCCTCTAGTGTTTTATTAAAGTATTCATTTTGCCCTAGCTGGTTTGGCTCAGTGGATAGAGCATCAGCCTGAAGACTGAAGGGTCCCAGGTTCGATTCTGGTCAAGGGCATGTACCTTGGTTTCGGGCACATCCCCAGTAGGGGGTGTGCAGAAGGTAGCTGATCGATGTTTCTAACTCTTTATCCCTCTCCCTTCCTCTCGGTCCCAGGTTTGATTCCGGCGAAGGGCATGTACCTTGGTTGCGGGCACATCCCCAGTAGGAGGTGTGCAGGAGGCAGCTGATCAATGTTCCTTTCTCATCGATGTTTCTAACTCTCTATCTCTCTCCCTTCCTCTCTGAGAAAAATCAATAAAATATATTTTTTAAAAAATCAATAAAATATATTTTAAAAAATTATTTAAGCCCTGACCAGTTTGGCTCAGTGGACAGAGCGTCGGCCTGCAGACTGAAGGGTCCCAGGTTCGATTCCGGTCAAGGGCATGTATCTTGGTTACCTTGGTTTCGGGCATATCCCCAGTAGGGGGTGTGCAGGAGGCAGCTGATCGATGTTTCTCTCTCATCGATGTTTCTAACGCTCTATCCCTCTCTCTTTCTCTCTGTAAAAAATCAATAAAATATATTTTTATAAAAAAAATTATTTAAAAGTATTCATTTGTGATGAGTTGGAACTTAAAGACAACTGGTCCTTCACCACAAATACAGTAGTTTGAGAAGCCCTGTGCTGTCGACTTGTAAGCTGCCTCTGCCCTCCTCCCCTGAGGGACAGGTGGGCTGTGGAGTGAGTTTGGGGAAATCGCAGCACTTGCCGCATTATACTGCAATGGAAACTCGTCTTGCTAGACAGTTTCTTGAGAGTAGGGACTGCGTGTGGTTCATCTTCATAGCCTCATCCTTAGAGCCCTGTCTGGCACACGGAGGGCGTGGGAAACGTTGTCCAGCGTAGGCCCGTCTGTGCCCCGTGACCCGAGAGTGGCGAGGCCATCCTCGGGAAGTCCCAGGGCGTCTGGGTAGTGACCTCTGGGCTGGCGATGGAAAGCTGGGAGCAGGCGATGAAGATGTGACCTCTCCTCCTCTTTTCCCCACAGAACCAGGTCTCCTCTTCCCACCTGCCCAGCAGCATGAGAGCAGCATGACCGGCCAGCTGCAGGAGGAGCCCCCAGAGCCAGGCCCCCAACTCGACCATCTGCTGCGGAGGGCGAGGTGAGCTTGCGTCCCTTCTCCCGGAAGGTGTAGGAATGTCCGTCGTAACTTATTTCATGTGCTTTTGTCATCTTTCCCCGTCTGTGGGGAAAAATGAGTCTCCAGGGACCTGTGGGTGTCCTGCCCAGCCGGTGTGGCTCAGTGGTTGAGCATCGACCAATGAACCAGGAGGTCATGGTTCGATTTCTAGTCAGGGCACATGCCAGGTTTGTGGCTCGATCCCCTGTAGGGGGCGTGCAGGAGACAGCTGATCAATGATTCTGTCTCATCATTGGTGTTTCTAGCTCCCTCCCCCTCTCCCTTCCTCTCTGAAACCAATAAAAATATATTTTAAGACAAACAAACAAGAGAAAGGAAGTGGGTGTCAGCCTAATTCAACAGAATGTGCTCATTTTGGTTAATGGAGTGGCCGATGGTGGAGCAGGCAGGACCCTGAATTGAGTTTCCAGGGACTGAAGCTCTCACTATTCCTCCCCTACCTCCTGAACTGGGATCTTGGCAGGTCTTTTAGGGACTGGGGATCCAGGGAATTTGGGGTGGAGGAATCTCTGGAATAGGATGGCATTGGAAGGACAGTCAGCCTGTGGTCTGGGCCTCCTAGAACGTTCTGGACAGAAACTCCTGTCCCACGCAAGGCTGTGAGGGGCCTTAGAGGATCAGCCAGGCCAATGCCCAGCCAATGATGAACAGTGAATTGTTAGAAAGTTCTTCCTAATATTGGGACAATTTCTTTTTCCTTTTCTTTTTTTAATGATAAGGGAAAGTTTATTTAGAAAGTTACAGAAGTAGGAGAAGGGCCCTTGGAGCTTAGGAGAAAGAGGGAGAGTGACACAAGCCTTGAGCGGTGGAAGAGAGAGAGCACACCGGGACAAATTATTTCTCTCCGTACGTTCTCCATCTCTGCTCTGCCATGTGGACCACAAAGACCAGCTTTCAGAGACCCTTCCACAGGACTCCCTCTTCCGGTTTGAAGATGGCTGTCCTGGCTCTGCTTCCCTTTTCTGTATAAATTCTCCCCAGAGACTGACGCCACTCACCTCGTCCTCTTGTTCCCTCCGTGTGGGGAAGGATTTCATTACCTGCGGTTGCTCACTTACCCCTGGTGTTCTTCAGAGAGAGCCCTTCACTCACTAGTCATGGGTACAGCTGGTCCTTGAATAACGCCACTTCCTTTAACACCTTTTCAGTTTACCTTGCTGAGATGCTGTAGTAACTTAACTCTTGTTGATATTAACTCGCCTCTGGCAAAATCGATTTCATTTTACTTCGTTTCACTTGAGGCCGAAGAACCTGTCAAGGACGTTACGTGCGGACTTACTGTGCGCGTTGAGCTTCCTCTGTGACCATCACTGTGCTAGACTCTAGATGCATGAGTGAGCAAGACAGCGCCTCTGTCTTTTTTAAGACAAAATAGGATCCTTCGAGAGAGTTTGAAGTAAGCTTTAAGCCACTTCTGTGTGTTCCTTTTTTATATTTTGTCTCTCTCCATTTTTTTTCTTAAATGTTTTATGAATGAAAAGCATGAGTATTCTGTAATTATGGAATATATTTTTCTAGATATGAGCATCTAAGTTAGTTCACTGTACTGTTCAGCTCATCTATAATGTGTTCCTTCCTGATTTTGTCTGATTAATCTATCAATTATTAAGAGAAACGTGTTGAAAATCTCTCACTGGATTTGTCAATTTCTCCTCGCAGTGCTGAAAATTGTGCTTTATGTATTTTAAGGCAATTTGGTGCACAGATGTTTAGACTCAGTATATATCTTATTGATGAATTGGGAGTCATTTCTACCATCTTTACATACTTTCCATTTTTTTTTTCTTTTTGCTTGAGATATTTTCACCTCTTATTCTATTCTTTTCCCCCAGAATCATGTACTCATTTATTTTCCATTTAAAAAAATACAATAAGTATTCATCTGTCTGGACATGTATATTTAAGTGCGGTTTGCATTTTCAGAAATGAGAGTGAGGTTTTTTTTTAGAGATTCTATCATTTTAAAAAATTTCAATGTTGACATGATTGCAGGTGTCCCCTTACCCCCCTCCATTTGCCCTACCCCCCCCCCCCACCTTATCTTCTTATTTGGAAGTTATATGCTCTGTAGCTATTCTTTCCGTGGCTACCCATCTATTCTAACAGGCATACGTGACAAAGTCTAAAATTAATCGGTGTCTTTACCTTCCTCCCAAACAATGCAAGAACCGTAAATAGGTTCACTTCTAGCCACTGCCTCTCCCGATGTGTACAGAGTTATTAGCCTGTGATTTTATTCTACCCTGTTTTCACCTACAAGTTAGACATCATTGTTTCATGCATTGTTTGTATAGATTTACCCACACACTTACCAATACTTTTGTCACCATTCTTTCATGAATCCGAGATCATGTTCCTTCCTCCTAATATAAATCTATTAGCATCATTCTTTAGTGCAGTGATGGCGAACCTAAGACACGCGTGTCAGAGGTGACACGCGAACTCATTTTTTTGGTTGATTTTTCTTTGTTAAATATATAAAATAAATATCAAAACTATAAATCTTTGTTTTACTATGGTTGCAAATATCAAAAAATTTCTATATGTGACACGGCACCAGAGTTAAGTTAGGGTTTTTCAAAATGCTGACACGCCGAGCTCAAAAGGTTCACCACCACTGCTTTAGTGAGACTGTGGTAGTAAAGTCCCACTTTTTTTTCTTTTGGTTTGGCTTGGTTTTTTTGTTTTTGTTGGCTTGAAATGCCTTATTTTCCTCTCAGTTCTGAAAGGTAGCTTTACTGGATATATTCTCTTACGTCATTGAAGCCATTAGTCCACTGCCCTGGCTCTGAATGTTGCTGTTGAGAAACTGGCTGTCCGCCTGATTGCTGTTCCTTTGTATCTGACCTGGCGTTTCCCTCTGGTTTTGTTCAAGAGACGGTTGTTTTCTGTGGTGTTCTGGAGCTTCCCTGTGCAGTAAGGAGGAGTAAATTCCTCTGTCTTTATTCTGCTTGGTGTTCGTTGGGATTCCTAGAGCTGAAGATGGGTATCTTCCAATGATTCTGGAAACATTCTCACCCTTCATGTCTTTGAATATCACGTCTTTCCCATTCTTTCTAATATCTCCTTCAGGAACTCCAGTTAGACGTATGGTAGACCTTCTCATTCTATTCCCTATGCCTCTTATCCTTTATTTCATATTTTAAATCTCTGTCTTTCTGTAAACTCTGAATAATTTCTTCAAACTTGTCTTCCATTTGACTAATTTATTCTGTGTCTCAAATGCTATCTAATTCATCCATTGAATTTTTTCCTTTCAGCTCCTTTTTTATTATTTCTAGAAGTTCTGGTTCATTATTTTTCAAATCTGCTTGGTGATTTTCTGGTCTCTTATTTCTTGTTCATATTGCACACTTCTTTCTCTATGTCTCTAACATATTGAAGTAGCTGTTGGAAAATTGTAGGATTCCATGTCGGGTAATTCCAGAGTCTGCTATCTCTACAGGCCTGATTGTGCCGCTGTTGTACCTACCTCCTCGCTGTTTTCTGTCGTCTCTGTGAGCTGCTCATTTTCATTGCAACTTTATCTTTGAGAATTCTTTGAGGTCCGGGTTGACACTGACTTTTCCAGAGAGGATTTGCATTAACTTCTGCTAGTCATCTAGGGCAGTGGTCGGCAAACTGCGGCTCGCGAGCCACATGCGGCTCTTTGGCCCCTTGAGTGTGGCTCTTCCACAAAATACCGACTTCTGTGCATGGGCCACGAAGTTTCAATCGCACTGTACATGCACGCCCGCACGTGGTATTTTGTGGAAGAGCCACACTTGAGGGGCCAAAGAGCCGCATGTGGCTTGCGAGCCGCAGTTTGCCGACCACTGATCTAGGGGCACCACCAACCAAAAATCACTTTGATTTTTTACCTGAGGCTTCTCTGGCTACAGAAGTGGCCTGAATTCAAACTGCAAAACTGTGCAAAGTCCGGCTTTCGGTACACATTTTCAGTCAAGACTTCCCCAGGCCCTCCCGGCCCAATGCCAGCTTTCCTTGCAGCTCCCTCTGTGTTGTGCTTTGTCTCATTCACGGCGGGGAGCAGCTCCCCTGGGAAACTTGAATGTCTAGGAACCTCAGGACAAGAGCCAGCTTTGCTTCAGGATGGCCCCCCAGGGCTCCTGCTTTCGGTTTGTTTTTGGTCTTTGAAGAATCCTTCCATTTGTGCCATTTCAGCAATGTATGCACAGTTTTTATATTTTAAATTTTATCCAGCATTTTATTTGTTTCCATTGGGAAGGTCAAGTAGGGTATCTGGCCGAAAAGTGTATCTTTTTTTTTCTCTCTCTCTCTCTCCAGCGTAGCCCTGGGGGGCAGAAATGACTATTCCTTGTTCACGGGAGAGCAAACCCAGGCGCAGAGAGCACCTGTCACTGGCTGCAGGTGCCAGGCTGGGAAGGAGTGTGTCCCTTTCCTATCTCCTTTCCCCCGAATAATTACGGACCACATTTTGGGAGATTCACTTTTTGCTCACAAAGGATACGAGCTCCTACCAGAACGCTTTAAATAGTTGGACAGCTCTGTGAAATTTGTTTATGAATCTATTGTTTATCTTCCTTGGGGGAGGAAATGGCTTCTGCATATTTTGCGGCTCATTTCTCTGGCAGTCACCAGCACTTTCCTGCTTCATTCCCGCTCTGGACGCCCTCCTGGACCCACAGCCAGTCCCGTGTGCACCTCCCCCTGGGCCCCAGCTTCTTCCTGTCCTTGTGCTACTCTCCCCTTCTTCTTTCCTGTGTCCCCCGTCCTTCCTGCTGTTGGATTTTCAGTCTCATGGCCCGAGGGGCGGCCTCAGGGCACTGAGATGAGACTTCGGGGCCTGGAAGCAGGGAGAAAAGCTGTGTTTGAGCCTAGCTCTGCCAAGCACTAGCTTAGTCTCTCTGAGCTCAGTGTCTTCACCTGTAACGGGGACAAGGCCCAAGCGAGTCAACGTACATAGAGCTTATACCACGAGCTGGGAGCATGGACAGCGC